TGCACTCGCCTCACCCAGTGTATTTTTTGTTAATAATAAAATCGATTCAAAGCAGCTGGCAATATTGCACTTTACACAAAGATTTCTTTTAGTTAATTATTTGTTTTTAATAAATAATACTATAATTAATATTTAAAAATTGATTTGTTATTTAATTTTTTAAAAAAACATCATTCATTTGAAAAGTTAACCGTAAATTTTACGCAATTTTTAGTTTACGCCACTTAAGAGCGCTCCGTATCCGCGACCACAGTACATACACAACATGAGCGACAGAAACGACGGCGTGTATTAAATGTTTTGACTTGTATGAGCATATCAAAGGGGGCAAATACATAAATGCTGTTCACAGCACAGCACAGTAAAGCTACACCAACAACAACAACAGCTCTACGAAATGATAATAATATATTAAGAGCATCACACTACGTTTGATAGCATAGGTAAAGTAAAGAGTGGCGAGCACTCACTCACTATATGTAAAATAAAGAGCGCCTGCTTTCTTACCTCATAAATGGTTTGGTGCTGTGTTGCTGTTGCTGTTGCTGCTGCTTTGATATAATAAAATCAAAAGTAGTATAACAAAAACAATAAGAGAAAAGTTCATTCACATTTTGTAGGGTTCGTTGTTATGTTTAAAGTTCATATACTTTAATGTGTATGTGTGGATGTTTGTGTGTTTGTTTGTGTGTTTATTATTGGTAAGCTGCTGAAATGTGTGATTTTCTTTTAATTAATGTTAATAATATATAAAATAATTTAATTTTATTATTAATTATTTTTTACTTGCAAGTTAAAAAAAATTTCTTTTATTTAGATATGAAATTGCAATAAGAATACTATATACTATTACTTTAACATAAATATTTTTATTAATTCATTTATTATAAATAATAATTAATAAATTTAATTTTTAATTTCTCATTTTAAAAACCTAACCGGCATTTCAATTTCTTTTTTTTTCTTTTGGTTTTTGTTTGATTCAACCTACTAAAGCATTTTCATAATGAAATTTTTTTATTCTTTTATTTGCTCTCTTTTTTCGGTTTAATCATTTCTTGAGGTTATTGACCTTCTTTGCTTAGCACACGATGTTTTATTTTTACTGATTTTGTACTTTATTTAGCACATTGCCATACTTGCGCTTGCTCTTTGCCAAGCGCTCTTACACAAAGTACATTTACTCTTTACACTTTTACAGCGCTAATTCACTAGCTCACTCTTAAGTAACTCACTCTTAACACCACTCACTCTTCTAGTTTGAAAATCTTTTTTTCTTGCTGTGTGTGCAATTGGTTTGGTACCCTTTACAACTGTTAACCGTTTTTGTACTTAATTTTGTTTTGATTTGAAAATGACGTTGCCAGCTAATAAATTATTTGATATATGTAAAAAATGGTAATGCATAATAATTTTTATTTATTTATTTGTGAGTTAACACTAAAATTAACTAAGAATAAGGAACTGGCCTATACTTAGTTCTGCTCTATAATAATAATTTTACTGCAAAGTGATGATTGGTGTATAATGGAAAATTCCGGATTTAGTAGTTGAAAATAATGTATTATTGAAAAAAAAAGATTTAGATGAAAATAATAATTAAATGGTTTTTAAATAATATTGTTAAATAATACTGTTGTTATTAATTAATAATTAATTAATAATTATTAATTAATTGATTTTTTTTTAAACCAACGAATTGATTTAAAAAGGTCACTGATGATCAGTATTTGGAACCATTAAAAAACCATTACATTTTTTAGCTCGATTGGTTAGCACGCGAATTTAATGCTTATAAGTTGATAGGTACAAAGTTCTAAGCCTGACACTTGTAGTCTTGTTGTCAAAGCATATATTCAAATGCCACTGATTATAAGTAGTTACTGACTTACTTAATTAGCATTTACAAGCGTACGTCATCCATGGTCGCGACCCTTGGCCTATTAGGTAGGCTTCTCTGTGACTTTTTGTTGCCAATTGGTAGTCCAGAGTGTTTTCATATTATTGGTCACCTGGTCTATCCACAGAAGTTGCTAAAATCCTCTACCACCTTTCTCATCAACCATGATTCTAGCAAAAGAAGTTTCTTCTATTCGCACGACATAACCAAGCCAGCGAGATCGCTAAATTTTTGTGAACTCAACTACATCAATGTCGTAAAACAACTTGTACAATTTACCTTGTCAACTAATTAGATACTCGTTGTCAACGCAGGAGGAATCATAGACTTTCTGAAAAACTTTTCTTTTTAATGCTCCTAAAGCCTTTTCATAATTATTCGTAATTATCTAAGCTTCTGCACAATATAGCATGACAATCACGGTTAGAGCGTGTCGAGGGAGGGTTTTATTTCTCAATTGTTTAGTTAGCCCGAATTAACATCTGTTGGCAAGAGTGATTCTTTATTAAATCTCTAGACTGACGTCATTTTTGATGTTAACGTTGGTGCAAACAAAGTCTTTTATAACTTCGCAATTATAGTTGTCGACAGTGAATTAGGTGCCAAGTAGCTTAGGAAATTTTTTTGTTGACACAAAGTATATGTTTTTTCCACAATTATCTCAAAACTCATTTTTCCATTTAAGTTGAAAGAGCCTTATTGAGGGCACGGGTGTTTAAGCCAACAATAGGTATTACAACTATTTGTTAAATATTGTGTCAAGTGATTATAAGTATTTGTCAATATTTGACACAACTATATAGTCTGTAGAAAGTCAATTTTTTTAAAACTTTATTGTTGTGATTCAAAAGTATTATGTTCTGAAATGTATTTACATTATATAAAATTAATTATTAGCTTTTATAAAATCTTTGTTGTATTTTAAAAATTACGTCTCACAATATTACGGCCGTGTGCGAGTTCGAGTAAATTGAGATAAAGTAAATTAAAATTTCCTAGAAATTATTTGCACTGCACTTATTAACACTTATTTATTGCATTTATTTATTATTTTCTGTTAAAAGTTTTCAAATTTATTTATTAAACACCTTATAAAATTTTGACAATGGTAATGCCCAATTTACCTAATTTTTATCTAATTTACCCTACTCGAAATTCTGGTAAATATAAACATTAGCTGCCATACCGACATAATTTACTATTTCTCTCAATTTACCATCAATTTACTCAAACTCGCACACGGCTGACATATCTTTTTATATTTATTAACAAATAATTAAAACTTTCAACTGGCAATGCCATTTTCAACAGATTTTTTACATTTGCAATTTTTTTTTTTTTGTTTTGAAATTTCTTTGACTAACCAGCATCGAACTTAACAGCATGCATTTCTCTTATTCCCCACGAAAACCCTTTGGCCTTATGGAGAGAGTAAGACAGGCACGCCATAGTGTGGCATGCATGCACTTTACATGCTCCACACACAAATTACCCAACTAAGCAGGAAAGCAGCAACAAATGCAATTGCCACTGCCACTAACTCTGCCGTCATTGCTGTCATTGCTGTCATTGTTGCTGCTGCCATTGCCGTTGACTTTGATTGTCTCTTGTAATTATTGTTTTTGTTTTCATTGCTGTTTCTGCAATTGCACTAGCGTCCCTTCAACTTTGCCTAACCAAAACGTTCAAGCAAAAAGAAGTCAATAAATGGCCGAGTTTCTTGCACTCCAAGAAACGTTGACATTTCAATGGTGCACTTGTTGTTGTTGTTTTTCTTTTGTTTTTGTTTTTTATTTTTGCTGCAACTTTGTGCGCTTCTTGGTTATTGTTGATGTAAAGAAATTAATTCATTTTTTAACTGCAATTAATATAATTTAGTTTATTTAATTTTTTTTATTTAATTTTATTTTTTT